TTCTAGGGCCCATAATGAGAAAAGAGGCTTAGAAAATTTGACACTCACAAGGCATGTTGAAGGAAAAAGGAACAGAGCAAAGCTGCGAGTAACCAACCTAACAAGCTTAAGTAAATGGTCGGAAGGAACTTAGAGTACAAAGAGCTACAAAAGGTAGTAAGTTGTGGAGAACCATGATCACCCATGTCCTGAAGAGACATGGCAAGAAGAAGTAGAAAAAGAAGAATTATTAGAGAGATATTCTAAGAGTTGAAAATCATATATTTTCATATGTTGAAGAGTTTTCTTTTATTTAACTTTGTTTGTTTTTGTCATATTTCAACCTACTAACAGCAGGAATCCAAAAATGAAAATAAGACTTAAATGAAAGTACACTTTTGTTAGGAGAGAGAGAGGGAAACAGGAAGTTGTGGAGAACCATGATCTCCTAGGTACTGAAGGGACACCGCACATAGAAGAAGAAGAAGAAGAAGAAGAAGAAGAAGAAGAAACATACTCTATTACTTTTATCCGACCATCAATTACCGTTAATTTTTAAATTTTTTATTTAATTTTTTGAGAATTCCATTTTTTGTATAGGTCATAGGTGAGTAACTATTCTTAGTAAATACATCTAGAAGTGGTTTTCCATTGTCATCTCCAGTCTTGTGAATTCAGAGTTCTCTTAGACTTGCCTCCAGATGATCAGTAAAGCTGCTATAACCAGACCGTTTTCTGATCTGTTGACTTTCTGACCAAATTCTTTTCTTTCAAATCTATTCAATGTTGCATGGAAATGTGGATCAACAAAATTGTCATGAGTTTGAAAAATAGAATCATTAAATTTGATTCAGATCATATGAACTTTCCTGGCAATGAATTGCATGCTCCCTTTAAAATATTCAAATTAGCTAGATACTTCCAAGACAAACCTTTTATTATTTATTCTTTTTGATTACAGACTTGCAGTTAATCAACCATAAATATTCTATTGCTTCTGTTACTAAGAATTTTGTTTTTAGGACAATGACCTATCAATTGACTGTATTTGATTTTGGAATTCAAACAAGATTTGACTAATGTCATAATAGTTTGAAAACACCAAAATAATATATAACAAAATTTTGGGGAATTCCATGGTGTCTTTAAAAAATAAAGTTTTGACTTGAAGCATGTTCATGTTAATAAAGACAAGAAAATAAATGATTTTACACTTCTCTTTTGGCAGCAATGGTCTGCAGAAAATTTGTTTAAAAAAATGAGTTCAGAACTCTGAAAATATGAATACAACATATTCAAGTACAGTCAGTTACTAATAAAATTATATTGGTGAAGCATCCTATCATCATCATCATCATCATCATCATCATCATCATCATCCGCCTCCTTCTCCTCCTCCTCCTCCTCCTCCTCCTGACCTTGCATGTGAAAATTTAAAAAGCCAATTCCATATCGGTTGGAGGTCCCCGGGGATGATGAGAAACAAGCATGCATTTCCATGGTTGTTGTGGAGAAGGGCAAGCAACCAATGGAAGATTCCAGTTTGCTGGAATTGCCAATTCTTTGCAAAACTGGGAGCATAGTAAAGACATCATGCTTTTGCAGATGGAGATTTACAAATATTGTGTGTACAGCATATGCATTTTTGGAAAAAAAAAGGGTTTGTAAATACGTTCCATCTGGTGGAATGGTTATACTATGTTTCCATGGTTGTAGGTTTCTGTCCAAGTTTTCTTCTCTTTGGTAGATAGACAAGTAAACTTAAGAGGTCTATGGCTCCTTCAAGTTATGATTGCTAATAAATCTAGCTGAATTTGACTGTACAACCTGAACATGTGTCCAGATTATCTATTTAGTTTTGTGATTATGAGGCTTTACAATGATAAAATTTGTCTACTCGAAAGCTGATTCAAAAATGCTATCAAAGAACATTAAATAGATATCATAGAGTGAAGATACAACATACCTGTTTAATCCGAGCAGAACATATTATTGGGCATCCAATCAATGACTGTTAGTTTGCAAAAAATTCACTCATAGAAATTGGTTAAGAAATTGTTGCACTTACCTACAAAGAAAGAAAAGAATTAATAAGTAAAGATTAGTTTTCATTTATTTGATGTAAATAAATCAGTATAGTAACACAAATTTGATACAGTAATAAGTTCAAATTAACAAATTGATTTCAAATTAAAAAAAAATAATTTCAAATTAAAAAAAATAATTTCAAATTAAAAAAAAAAAAACTTCAGATGTTCCTTTTCCTATACTGGTAGCTACCCAACACAAAGAGTTCAATCTGATCTGTTAAATAAGAGATCCGACTGGACTCAAGAGAGTTGCTGCCAGTCTAGGAGAAGATGGGTTCATGCCTTTTCAATAGCTGGGATTGCCACTTCTAATTTCTGCACCAATAACCATTACACTACTTGCACATTAATCAACATCTTGCACACTTTTAGCCAACACGTTTCATCCTCTGAGGGACTTTATCAAAGCAATGTAGGATTTATTTTCTTGCATGTGTTTATATACGAAAACAAAGGATGTCATTGGTTTATCAATGTTATTATGTTTTGATTGAACTTTCAACTCCCAGATGAATATTCATCAAAATGACACTAAAGAAAACAGGATACATGCACATGTATACAATCCTGTCAAAGCAAAAATCAAACTCCCTTTTATAATGGTTGATGAGAACTAGAATCTTCCAGAAGACTTTGGACAATTTATATTCGAATTCTCCCAAGAAATGAAAACTGAACCATTGAAAATTAAGAAAAATCTTTAAGAACTGTTATTTGCCTTCAAATATAGCTGAATTAAAAATTACTGGCCTGGCCAGATACACCCAATATATTTAGAAATAAGAATCAGTATTTCATGGTGACTGTCTGTTTCACACTGTCTATCTGTCTATATATATATATATATATATATATATATATATATATATATATATAATAAATGAAGAATAAATAAATTTGTCCCTCACCATTTGGTGCAACTCTGGATTTCAGGCACAAATTGCAAACAGACTTTTGCAGTATGTCAGTATTTATAACCTACTAATTTATAAACATATTATGATGGTCAGTTTTCATTTTGTGCCTGACAATTGCCATGAGCATGAAACTCAGAGTTGTGCCAAATGGTGAGGAACAAATCTATTCTTAGTATAAATTTTAGTTCTGTTATTTTACATCAAGTAGTGCTGTTTATTATCACCAGCACTCACCATGCACTATCACACACACACACACACACACACACACACACACACACACATATATATATATATATATATATATATATATATATATATATATATATATATATAAATAAAAAAAAAAGAACAATAAGATATATAATCTGGTGTTCTTATAGATATTTTTATTTTTACAAAATAGTGCTCAATGTAAATTTAGTTTAAAGGTTACTCCAAAATTCCCTTGAGGATGAAATGGAACTAATGTCTTTAATTTAATTACAAAATTAAATTTGGAGCTTTTAGCTTCCATTTTTGAAACATGGTTAGAACTGTGTAGCGAAAAAAAACATATTTTAAATCAATTAATTTATAATATATATATATATATATATATATATATATATATGTGTGTGTGTGTGTGTGTGTGTGTGTGATAACATGTTAGGTAAGCAAAAACACTAGAAAGTAAGACAAATTATGAAATAGTACATAAATAAACAAACACAAATACCAAATTTATTATATATTAAGAAGAATGTTAATTTTTGGAGCTTCTAAAACACTGGCATTCGTCACAAATAGCCTCTGACAACTGTCCAGCTCCAAGCCAAAGAATGAGCAAATGCAGAAAACTGGCATCTCATAACCAACTGCTTCAGGTAGATGGAAGTTGACAGCCCAAGAATTGCAGTCCTCTGTTGCCTTGCGGTTATATCCAACCAAATATTGATAAGGGCAGTGGAAGTAAATCCAAACATGAAACCTAAAGTGGGGATCCAAACATTGATAACTTTCTAGTAACTCATGCAGTCAAGCTGTAATGCCCTGTATTTCTTTCATTTTTGTCAGTACAGCCAGGAGTGGGGCCATATAATGTGGTCAATGCACAGCTTCCATATACCATTGCCCAGGCCTGCACCCTGTAGAAGTCACCCTCATTTTATCACCAAAGGATTGAATTTTGACTTTACTTTCATTACTTTACGTTCTTTTCTTCACCCCACCTCCTCTATCTTGCTTTTCCTAATTCCTTCACATTTTTTGGGTCAGAAAAACTAATTTTGATTTCAGTTCAGAACATCTTGGAATTGGGCAGATACTACACTCTGATCCTAGGTAGATAATCATGTCTGCCATACATATAAACAAGGAGATAAACAGTAGAGATTCTGTGAGAAATTATAAATGTTTGCAACTCAAAAGGGCAGTGATTGGGTAGGTACTACACATTGATTCTTGGTAGAAAATCATAGTGGTCCTACATACAAGCAAATAGAGTAATAATAGATTCTATCATTGAAATGTTTTTGTCCCAAACAAGCAGAAACTGATAAGCTGTGAAAAAACAATGAAACAAAAATCTTGAAAAATTCAACAAAATACAACCGGAAAGGTAAAAGGTAAAAAAGTAAAAACAATCCCAAATTCTATAAATGGGATTGATTCGAATTGTATTTGACAGTAATACAGATTTAGTAAATCAGATTTTCATGTTTTTTCTTTTCTTTTTGGCTCTTTTACTTAGACTCACATTTTTTTTTGTTTGTCTACTTGTCTTCAAGTTCTGAGTCCAGAAGCTTAAATATTGGAATCTACTATGAAAGCCTCTTTGGGATTCATCTTACTATTCTTTGCAATATTTTCTTTTTTTTTCAGGTTTGAACAGAATTGAATCAAGTGGAAAAATGTGAAGAATATTCACTTAGCAGAAATCAAATTCAATGGCAGAGTAAATTGAAAAATTAAATAAAAATCTTTTCTTTTGTTATTTATTCAATTCACTTTTGTTAAAGAGAAAAGCCAAAAAATGAAAGGCTTTCAGTCCATTTTTTCGCCTTTTAATTCTTTTTTCTTTTCCTTTTTTCTCATCTTTTTTCTCTTTCTTTTTTCTCATCCTTTTTCTTTTCCTTTTCCTTTTTCTTCTCTTTTTCTCAAGTTTCCTCTTCTTTTTTCTTCTTTTTTCTCTTTCTTTTTATATCCTTTTGCCTTCCCCTTTTTTCTCCTCCTTTTCTCTTCATGTCGGCTTCATTAGAATATAAATAGAAATAAAAAGCTGCTATTATTTTCTGAAATTCATTTGAAATAAAGATGAAAATGTTTCTTTTTTACTAAATCCACTTCTCAACCTTCATCTTCTTTTTCCACATTTTGTCTTTTTCTTCTTCTTTTTCTTCTTTTTCCTCCTCCTCTTCTTCTTCTTCCTCTTCTTCTTCAATTCATTTAAATTGAAAGAATAAAAAGAAAGGCAGCATAACTTTCAAGTTCCTTTCTTGTTATTTTCAAGTTTTCTAGGCCAAACTGAGGTGAGTAAATTGCAGTAGGAAGATTATGTTGCACTAATCCCCTGCATGCTTTGAAAATAAACATTAAATATCTTGGCTTTTCTTAGATCTTCATTCTACAAATCACAGCAGTTTTTTGCCAAAGAAACATGATTTTGGACAATCATCAACTCCTTTCAGGTCAATGTTTCATTTGTAAGCAAATGCCAGTTCCACTACAAAAAAATCATTTAAGTAATAAAAATCTGGCTGATTAATAAATAAAACTCCATCTGTTTCCTTAGAAATATATATATATATATATATATATATATATATAAATTTTTAAAAACTAGATCAGCTGATCACGCTACCTTGTTTTCATCTTTTCAATATCTTCAGGCAATCCAGGTTAAATAATTTCCTAATGTTTAAGAAATTTCCCATAGCATTAAAAAATTATTTAGCCTGGATCGCCTGAAGATGCCGAAAGATTGAAACCAAGGTAGCATGATCACCTGATCTAATTTTTTTTAAATTTAAAAGCTCTGTATGTTAAATTTTTCTATATATATATATATATGGAGGGGGTGTTTATTATTATTAATTGAATTAAGGAAAATAAAGTCTCACCATGGCTGTAATGATGGCTATTAGAATTACCTAAGGGGAAACTGTCATTGGACTTGATGTGCTTTCGACCTCTTGGCTACAGAGTGCATTGATGACCAATGTAAACTAAGCAATTTCTAAGGAAAGGGATGGATTTTTTATTTCAAGAGTCAGAGAGAAATCTGTGTTTAAAGGCACTATTCAACTTTGCTTGGTCATTGACATACTCTATAGCTAAGAGGTCCAATAGGTGAACACACAGATTCAAATTTTGCTGGAGAATAAATACTGAGAGAGAGAGAGAGAGAGAGAGAGAGAGTATAATAATTATGCTGATTTGAAGTTTTATATCTTAAGTGATCATCAGCCCAATAAATAGCAGTAGCACATGGTCAGATGATTGGTTAAGGGATGAGACTGCCAGTCACCAGACTTGTTGATTTCTATGTCCACACTGTTTATATCTACAAATTCTCTATCCCTGACTGTGACCCATTAGCACTTTTAAACTCAATCTTCATGCCTCAAGTATGAAAAAATATCTTTTCTGTTTACACATATTCTATCCTTGATATTAAGCAATTTTACCTGGAAATATAGAATACCTTTAAACAATATATATATATGAAATATGAGAATGCTGAAAAGTTTAACTTTACCAAGCAGAGATTCTTTGTTAAAATTCTGATATTTATTTATTTTAGAGATTTGGGGAAATGGTTCTTACTGAGAACTTTTCTGCATCTCCTCCTGCATACAATCATATATATATATATATATATATATATATATATATATATATATATATATATATGGAGAGAGAAAGAGAGAGAGAGAGTGAGAGATGTATATCTAGGTAAATATAAGTATATGTATGTAAGAGAGGGCTTGCATGAAGTGACCTTCAACCTCCATCAAGGAGATGAGACAAGCTAAAGAAGAGTAGGAGAGTTGGATACTGATATGAACATACTCTTCAACCAATCAAATTAGATTATGTAACTGCCAATACCTGGGTTGAGTAATCAAGAAGCAAATATTAGTTCAATATAATCAATATCTATTGCTTGCCATATAAAATATTTACACACCAGAAGCAAAGAAATAGAAAGAAGAAGAAAAATGAAAAACAGAATGATAGAAAAAATTAAGAAAGAGAAAAAGACAAGAAAGACGTGACAGGGAGAATGAAAAACAATGAAAGCAAACAATGGAAAATCAAGGAAAGAAGTGTTCGAAAGGAACGAGAATAAAAAAGAAAACAATGAAAGGGTAGAAAAATGATATAAAGGAAAGAGAAGATTGAGGAGTACATTTCAGGAAGAGAAAAAACAAAGAAAACAAAAAAGGAAAAAGAAAAAAAATGGGGACAGAGAAAGAAATGAAAAATGAGATTTTTAGAAGAAAATAGAAAAATTGAAAAGTACTAAATGAGAAAGAAAAAAAATATTAAAAAGTGAATGAATTAGTAGAGAAGGTAAAGGTAAATGAATAAGGAAGAGAAGCAAAAGAGCAGAATGGCGAATTAAAAATGAATAAATCGAAGAAAGGGAAGTGGAAAATTAAAACTGAATTATAATGAAGAGACTGTGTCAAAATAAAAGACAGATTTGATGAACAATATTTAAATAGGACCAAATTTTTCTAAAATTTGTTTCCTTCGTTTTCTTCTTTTTCTTTTGTACAACACCATTTCTTCTCTTTTTTCTTTTTCATCTTTTTCTTCTTCTCTTCTTTTCTTTATTTTTGATATACTTCATTTATTTTCCTCTTGTCTTTTTCTTTCTCTTTTTTGTTTTTTCTTCTCCCTTTTTTTCTTTATTCTCATCTTTTTTTTCTCTTATTTTTCTTCTATCTTTCCCTGTTCTTCTCTTGTTTGTTTTCTGTTTTGCTACTATTCTGAAATGAAATAAGTCATGAAATATATGTATACATATATATATATATATATATATATATTGACTTTCTCTCCATATTTTTCCTGCAGCATTCAGTCTGATTGCTCGGGGATGCTGGACATGATGGAATGATCATGGAGTCGGGTGCGCTGGTTGATAATGGTTTGGAATGGAGAAGACCTATAAGTTTCTGAAGAAGTAAAAGACCATACAAAGAAGGAAACCTGTGACCAACTGTCAGCGATCTTGTTTACTCTTTTAAAACATCTTATTTTCTCTCTGGCAATACAAATCAAAGAAAGATTTTTTTTTATTCTTAGAAATTTTTCTCACTTTCTTTCATTCTACAGTATGCATATAGAAGTGTAGGCACTCAAAATATTAGATTTATACTGTCAACACTCTCCATAAAACAAATGACAGAAAAAGTAACCATGAGAGAACATGAACTATCCACACTATGGTAGATAGATTTTATGAATTTGAGTGCAGTACTAGATTGGCAGCAAGGTCTCATCATTTTACAATTGCAGATATTCTATGCAAAAAGTTTTTTCTTGTACATCTTGCTTGTGGAACTCCCTTCCAGCTTCATGCTTTCCAGCCAATTTTAATCTTAAAAAAATTAAATGCAATGTCAATTGCTATCTACAGTCCTCCTGGTTACTCTTTTCTTTTTCTGCTCATTATTAGTGTTTCAGTTCTTAATTCTTTCACACCCAGTAACCCCTTGTGCATTAGTGACTTTACTGCGTTGCATGGGATGAAACAGATTAGTATATATATAAATTTATTTGAAAATTATAACACATGTTAAAAAATCACTTGGCTATTTTTGCAATGATTTTATAACATGTTTATGTTATAATTTTCAAATAAATTATATTTGCTCTACTCTGTATTGAGCATTTTTTAAGAACAGTATTTTTTAGTTATTAGAATTTATTCCATATACACCAATCCTATACTTGGGTATATATATATATATATATATATATATATATATATAAAGAAATATAGTCTTAAGGTGTGCTATATTTATGGGATAAAGTGCTCAATATCAGAGATAGAACGTGTGTAAATATAAAAGTGAACATAGAAGTCAACACTTAGAGGCGACGGTCTGTTTCATGCTATATGCAATCGTCAGGCCATATATAATATATATATATATATATATAATTGTATATATTCTGTGTATATACATAATGATGAACTATTCACTATGGTATCTTGACTTTATGAATTTAAGCGCAGTACTAGATTGGTGGCAAGGTCTCATCATTTTACAGTTGAAATGACTAGATGCAACTGTAAGTTCTGTTCTAATAGTTTCTTCTCTCACACTTCTTGCCTGTGGTACACTCTTCTGGCTTCCCACTTCACAGTCAATTTTGATCTTCAAAAATTTAATTGCAATGGCAATCGTTATCTTCTGTTTTCTTAATTCTTGTTCTTTTATTCTTCTCTCTTCTTAATAATGTCTTTTTCTCTAACACTCAGTAACCACTTGTGTCTTAGTGGCTTTATTGCCTTGTTTAAAAAGTTGGGATTCTGAGTAAAAAAATAATGCTAATTACAGAATATCTTTGCAAAACTAGAATTAAGCAAACAAAAAGTCAGATATATCCGTATAAAAATATGTCCAGGAATTATAAATTACACAAATCTTTGTCAAATAATACAAGTAACAAACCTGACAATCTCAGAGGATTATCTTTGCAAAACTTTGAAAATCTTAATTGAAACTATGAATTTGGGCATGCCAAAACATATATGGAAGAGAATACATTGCTATTTTTGTAAGGATGTCAAGGACCTTAATGAAAAAAAGGGGAATATAAAGCATATAACAATGCATGCCTTCTGGAATTAAAAGAAATTACACTGTCAGTATTTCTGTCTTGCACTAAGAAAATCAAAGTATGTACTAATGTAGTCAGTGCAGGGAGCTGAATATTTTCTGACCGACAACTGAATGGGCATGCTTTCCAGCAGTTTGACATTCAGATCTTTAAGTGATATATAGATAGATAAATATACTTGAGAAAGGCATTTATCAGCCAACACATAGTGATATACACAACAAGAATGAAGACAACTGTGTGAATAACTCATGAAATAATGACAATACTTCATTTTAGAATAGAGAAGTATAAATGGTGACAAGTGATGTTAAATGCTTACAGAAGATACTGTCTGTTCATCAACTTGATGGTATATTCCAATATGCTGTACAAGGATTTTGAGTAGATATTGATTTACTTTTTTTCTAGTAAGCAAAATAAGTATACAAAAATTCAAGTGCAAACATGATTGAGTAGAAACAGCAATATGCAATGAACTGTGCAATATATTTTTCTTGGCACAACGTAGAAAGTAGGGAACAGATCAAAATGAGGGCCTGAAAAAAAGCAAAGACAGATGCTCCCCACCAAACAGTGAACCAGAACAAGGCCAGTACACAAAGGTTAATCCCAACAAGGGGTTTTGTTGGTCTCTTTCACAACTGCATTCCACATATAATAATCAAGAGGGTTACAGTAAGGGGAATTAGATGGTAAAGGGGTTATGTGATTGCAGAAATTCTCTGACAGCCATGACAAGGTTCTTTTCCGTGTGTGGCATGGTGCAGAGTCTTGTTGCCGGACATAAGGTCTTTCAGCAGTCACCCTCTTGATCCAGAGCAGTACTAACTCCTCAGAGCACTTGATGTAGAGCACTGTTTTGTGTCTGAGGCTCTCACCAACAAATTTAGGAGTTCTTTTCTTATCAGAATGATCAGTGTGAGTTTTCTGAAATGCTGTACCTTCATAATCACCATTAGACTCATCCAACTCCTTCCAAATCCTCTGCACAATCCTCAGATAGACACCCAAACACTCTAAAATGTTTGTATTGGAGCTTACACTGCAAATTCCAAGCAGTATAGCATGCCATTTCCAAATTTCTCGAAGAGTGAATTGTGTTATGGTGCTCTTTTCCTTACAGATGGCGCCCAACTGACCCTATTATACTGTGCAGTTGACAAAAACAAATAATGTGCATGCATGAAATTAAAAATATAAAATGGCAACAATTTACTCATCACACCCAGTATTTATGTATGTGTGTGTGTATGCTTTCTAAACATTAAAAGTAAAAATTTAGAAAGAAAACTAACATTGAACAGGAGAAATAAAAAGCAATGTATTAGCAAACTGATTCCCCCTACTTACTAATGATTTATGGTAACAGTAGAATTGCTCATATCTGATAAGCAAGCATAAAGAATGTATGTTTGCTTATTGTTCTAAGAGAAAGATATATGCTAAGATTTGTTTGCCAAATGAGAAGCAAAACAACCAATTTTTTCTTTTTATTCCCTGTTGTTGGACTCTTCTGAACAGGGCCGCTTATTGACAGTCAAAATGTAACAATTAGTCAAATAAAAAGAAAGGAAGCAGGAAATAAACTCCAGGCTTTTTTGACCATTTTTCGCATAGAACTCATGCAATATATGGAAATTTCATTCCGTCTGGTAAGCTACTATCGTCTTTGTCAGAGGTGACATCAAGCAAACACTCCTGTTACCATATTAATTGAATATCTCATTGGTAATTAGGGAAGATGATCAATTACTATTAAAAATTTCATTGTGCTTCATGTCATATAGTTAATGTATACACATGCACATATAAATGTAGGCTTTCATCATTTACAAAGCAGGTGAATCTTTTTTGTCTTATGAATACACACAGTATATCCATTTACTCAAGTGAATTACTAGCATAAAAGCTGTTGCCATTATTTTAAGGGTCTTGTATGAATATTTTATCACCCAAAAAGATGCTTTTCAGATACTTTTGAATTAGAATTGTCTTTTTGTAAGGTCAGTTTCTCAAAGAATGATCAATAAAATAAAGGGAAATAACTCATACAAGCCATCTGCCATTTTAACATAGCTGCTTTCAATCTGTTCAAATGTCTACAAATGTTTTGCAGATATAATACGATGAGAGAAAATTCCTATTTGCCTCCTTGCTGTGTATTCCTGATTGCCTAATTATAATAATTAAAAATTAGTTTTGATTAAAAGTTTTTGAAAGATCTTTAAATAACCATTAGAGTCTTTTCTAATTTCATTGATGGACATGTTTATTGGATCATTCTATTGGAGATTATCAGACTAAACCTCATAGAATACAAAGACGGATTGAGGAAAGAGGGTTAGAAAAATTGAAAGTTGGAGGGGACTGCCTTGAAAATCAGCAACAGAAGTTTTCATTCATGCATTTATTGCTATAAAATAAGTCAAATTAAATTCACTAAATTAATGACATTAACTCTTTACTTATTAATTAATTATATCAACTCATTAGCCTTGATTTACAAAGATTTCCCCATGTAAATAGTTGCCTTGGAGATGGGTCAGTCAGGAGTTAATTATTCCTGTTGATTGTTGTGCTGTTAAATTAAATTCAATTAAATCCCAAATAAATTTTCATCAGTGTTTAAAGATTTAATTAACAATGTTTTCATGATTCAGAACTGTTCAGTGTTATTTACCAATATAATCATAGTTTGGCACAAGTATGGGGAACTCACTGAGGATTGAAATCATTATAATAATAACGGTCTGCAAGAGAAATTTTCTAACTGTGGTTATATTGCTTGAAATGTATTAAAACTAGTATAGGAAAATTTCATTAGAAACAAGGAAATGTGTGCTAAACTGCTAATTGAAATCTGTCCTTCAGTATAGCAGTGAGTGCTGGATAATCTCCTCAAAGATGAAGAGGAAACTTGAAGCAACAGAAATGTGGTTTCTGTTTATATTTTTGAGATAAGGTATTGTAACCAGTGAATAAAAGCATTGGTTGAAGAAATCCCTGTGAATTGATGCAAAGAGTTGTGAGTTCAATACTTGGCCACAGTAGAGGTGAAAAAACTTGGAGTGTTGAGTTGCTAAAAAAGGCAAACTGAGATATCCAGAA